ATAGGCTGGTTTTCAAGAATACATTATTATATAAATAAAAAAAAAATCGAATTTTGAGGATTTTTTGTATTTTGATCTGCCACCAAATTTATACATTTTTAGCATATTAATTTATTAACTTTCCGAAGGAGCAGTTTTTGGCGAAAAAATCATTCTAAATCGAATGATACTAAATTGAGAAAAAGTATGTGTGTGTATGTATGTAATAAGATTTTTTATCTTTCGCCCATGTTTTCTCAAAAACGGCTCGATTTCGAAAATTTGAAAGCTATTTGATATAACTCGATTAAGACTATCATTGGTCAGTTTGGCGTGACGATCGGCCAAGCCGTTTCTTTATAATTGGTAGAATAGTGTCTACAAGTTATCTTAAATCGATTTTAAAAATTAAAAAACTATTCGAAAGTTTTTGGTAAAAATAAATGTTGATTTTTTTGACGATTTTGATAAACCTTTGTATAACGATAGATTTCGTTGTTTGAAATAACATACTAAAATATTATAGGCCTAAGATAAGCTTTTGAATTATAAAAACGAAAATTCATTAAATTTTCGTGGCATGCTCGAGCGATTCTGATCAAAATCTTTACCTACGTATGTTCTGTGTTTTGTAGGTAGCTGCTGATTGCAGCTGACGTCAACGCTTCAATAAAATACATTTTTAGAAATGGATTAAATGAAATGAGTTAAAAATATATCATGAGTATGTTTGGAAGAATGGAATGAGTTACATTTCGAATATTGTTCTATGTTAGAAAAAAATTCGACGTTACGAAACATAAATTTTAACTTCCTGAAAATAAAGTTTGATTTAGCCAATTCTATTTTATCCGAGATTTGGCACCTATGCCAATGCGTTTACGCATCCCAGACTTGGTCTTTTGTCTGGGTATGTCGGGCTCGATACAGCTTGAGTATATTATCAAGAAAAAACCTCCACTAATCACTTGCCTCTTGTCCCCACTTAGGCTTTACTTTATGGGGGGAGGATATAGAATGCTATGATTCTCTCTCTTTTAATTATACTTTCTTTATAATTTGTGCCATTCGCTCTTCTTTCAGTTTTTCACTTCTGAAGATTTTGGCTGGGAATCTTACAGACTACTTCATGGTAAAGACCAGCGACGCCTTTCTTTTGTAATTAATTGTTGGAAAATTTACATGTTGGTTTAATGTATGTGGTTTAATTATGAAAATTCATCAAGGTTGGAGTAATAGGTCGTGCCAAAACTTCAACAGTTTATAGTCACAATCTAAGTTGCTAAATCTCAATTCGTATTAATTAAGTCGATTTATAACACGCATCGGAAAGTTTTCGCAACTTGCCTTAACGCAGAGGCCACTTTTTTAACTACTTATTTATAAAGATATTAACAAATGTCTGCATACTCTTTGTTTAGATATTAAGTCCATTTGCTGAAAAACGATAATATGGATATATGAACATAAAACTGTGAGTCATTAACGTCTAAATTGTCTAGACTTAAGAACGTATGCACACTTAATTTATGCAAAATACACAACCGGTCAAATGAGTCAAATTGAACTAGTGTATTTCCATAGTGAACTTTCGATTTTATCTTACGAGTTGATGATTTTGCATGCACTTTATAGTGAACGAAATGCATAACAATTATATAACTGATAACTATACATTTTTTATTATTTTAAAGTTCCCTTTTAATTATCGTAAAATGAATGTTTAAATAAATTTATCGTTTAATTCAATTTATATTTTAATTTCTGGATCTAAAACTATTAACGCTTTGAAAATTTGGGGAGACTGGGTACAGTTGTGCCACTTTTTTTTGATCAGCAATAGTTTTTTAATTTACCAGTTAGCTGGGAGAAAAGTAAATTAAATGGTAATTTGAACATTTTTCAAACAAGAACGATAGTGACCCATGAAAATAGGTTAAAAAACAATAGGTATAATCACCAAAATAACTTTTATTGTCAGAATAGACTTTTATCATCAGAAATAAATAACACAACACAATTTAATCATTTAATCAAAGCTTATGAATATATAATAATTTATAACAAAACATATTTTTTTAAACAAAGTTAATAAGAAATCTTTAAAAAACTTTTTTTTTCTTATATTGAAATTTCCTCTCCCTTTCTCTTTTGCATTTTGTCTCAGTAAAATTAATTTTTTTTGTATGTTTACTCTTCACCCGAAAAGGATAAAAATATGTCACATCCTTACCCACCAAATTTGTCACAACCGTACCCAACGCACACTTTTGAAAACAAATCTTCGTTATAACTGAGTTAAATTATCTACGCAAATACTAATTGGTGGTAATTGACTACTGATGTTCAACTGCAAAATAACAATCAAAGTGATCTATCTGATGTATACATGAAACAGTTAGTATTAAAAAAAAAATCGAATGAAGAAACTTACTTTTGACTCCTTAAAAGCAATACAGATCATGTCAATGTAGAGCGCTGACTGAAAGCAATAACTGTATGTTCAAACAAACATACTACATCGTTCACCCTTTGGACCCTATCTCAAAATCAGCATAGTTTAGCTGTTCTGACGACTATCATTACCGTACTCAGTCTCCCCTATAACTAATTAACAAATAATTACTACTTTTAATTATCGTTAATAATTGATTATTATTACTTACCAAATATTTGATACGTCAAATTTGATTAGCAACTTGTTAGCTAATCAAATTTGATTAGCTATGGAAAATCATAGAAAGAAATGGACTATTTTGTTACCAGCAAGAAATTTGGATTCTCTGAAAGACTTAATTTTAGTCAAATGGGCTTAGATAGTTATTATTAGAATCGATACACAGTTAACCTTTCTATAACGCTATACTCTGAAAACACGGTAGTCGGTTTCAATACAACGCGCTACGAATTATGAGTTAAATCCGAGTTTCTTATAGCGCGGTTTTACGTTCGTTATCAATAATTCCTTCACTAATTATTGGAGACATTTTAAATACTTACAAGAATCAAATCGAAACATTTACGAAGTAATTTTAATTTTTTTATATAAGTAAGCACTAAAACTCGAACCACTTTGTATTTTGCACCAATTAAATTTCAATTTAGATTTATACTAAAAATAGGAATAAAGACTGAAATTATTAAATAAAATAATACATACGAAACAAATATATTATATTCACTGTAAAACATACATACTTTGTTCCCACAAGTATATTATTTATATATTTATCCTACCTATATTATTTATATATCTATAATAAATTCATCTGTACAAGGAATATATTTTTCAGTTTATTTTTTTTTAATAAAACTCTTACAAATCCTCGATTTATACAATTCAAAAATTCAATCAACTCAATTTCATTCATTCTGTTTATATTTGCTTGATAAATTTTCTTACGTATATAACTAATATGTTTTTAGAAAACTTTTGAATATAAATGTTATAAACAGAATGACAGATTTTTTTAAAATATCACCTATTTTACAAAATATATGAAAAAAAACAATATATGAACCGTTTTTATATATATGATATAGATATATACAATATAAAGTTCTATATAGATTTTATACATGGACGGTCTCATATCTATTCCAAAGTCATAACAGTTATTCTCAAAAATCTATATAAACGTACATAACAATGATATTTTTAATAATTTCTCTAGAAAAACGGAATGTAAATTTACTAATGAAACACTAGTAATTTATTCAGTATGGATATATGCACATGTATATTCATAAACACACAAAAGTACTTGCATATATATATATATATATATATATATATATATATATATATATATATATATAAACAAGTACGATATAATGGTGACTTAATTTTAGTGATAGTTATAATTAAAATATTAATAATAATAAATTCTCGATAATTTAAAAACAATTTTCATCAACTATTTAACAATATTCATTTAAAAGTTATAGATTAAAAATAAGAAAACATTACTAAAAATATTCGCATCACACAAAATTTACGGCTAACTGCCGCCATTCCTTCAGTCAAAATTGACAATATTAAAAGTCGGTTCTTAATTTTATTTCCAACATTTGCTAATAACAAATAGTGCAGTCAATTTCATATAAAACATTTAAATTACTTTCTTAATGCACTATTAAATTATTCTAATGTTGATTTTGTTGAAATGGTACAAATTGACTCTTTACGAATCTATTAGGTTCTGCAATTATTATTTACAAGTATTAAATACTTCAAATAAAACTTACGTCTCTGCATGTGAAGGGTATTTAATTAATTTTAGAAGAAACAAAAGTTTTAAAAGGTTAGGCAAATAGATTTTTTTATAAAAAATATCAATAAATTATTTATTATGCTAAAAATATAAAAAGACTTCCATTAGGTTTTAAAATTAATAAACTGCATAGTAAACGTTTTCCAGTTTTAAGCAACGCGGTATTATTAAAAATAACTTATCTAAACTCATAATTTAGATGTATTTTTAAAAACGGAATGTTTGAATATTATTTTTCCTTTAGGATCAATATTCAGAAAGTTAAAATATAAATATATTGACATAAGTTAATTATTTTTTGCTATAACATTGCGATTGATTGGCGTGTAAAACTATTTATATTTATACATCTATACCTTAATACCCCGATTAGTATAAAAATATGTTTTGTTACATTTTGTTTATTTTGTTTTCATATAAATTCATTTAAAATTTCCTTGTGTCGTTGTAACTATACTATAAGATAAAAGAATGATTATTTCTGCGATCATTCATATGTCAGACATATTTTTTCAATATATTCATTTTTTAAAATTGCTTAAATAGAAATGTTTCTTGTTAGAAGAATCTTGATGATTTTTAAAACAAGTAACAATCAGCAACAAAAAGTCTATTTATCTGATGTTTTGCGTCATACACATGGTATGACATGTATATGCAAATATACATGAGACGACGTGTATATATATATATATATATATATATATATATATACATAAAGGTATGTATAAATTACATACTACTAGGTCATTATATGACTTGTCACAATATTTAAAATTTAAACACTACGTATTTTGAATTTAAAAAGTCACACGGATTAAAATTACAAGTATCTGCAGGTTATCACAATCACAAAATAACAAGTTTCAATGTGCGTTATGAATACAAATTTTAAATATTGAATTTCGGCAACTTTCTTAATTTAATACTATTGATAATACTTAAGTAGGAATGACATAGAACTTATAATACAATACTAGTTCGATTGTAACATCTAAAATAAACTTAATACTTAGTTGCATGGAAACTTTTCAAATGCATGTATAAGTCGTCTATACACCCTTATAAATTCATAATTTCAAAAACACTGCCGCATCACTGCAGACGTTTGAGTTCTTGTTATCTGAGATTGCTATCCTCATTTCATTTTTATAACATGATTATAACGGTTGTTTGATAAATTAATATACCGTGGTTTATTACTTCTAATGTAACCCTACTAATGTTACCTTTCTGTGAACCTCACCTTACAATAGTCAAGTTAATATCAGCATTCCGAATGATCTTCTTCGACCAAATGCTGCGTATCTTTGCCGGTATCAATATTGGATGGATCCAACTCTCGATGTCTAACTTGAAGTTGAGGTGATGTCTTATGAGTCATCGATGAAGGCGCGAGTATTGCAGAAACTGTTTCTCTGAATGTACTCTTTAATTTGCTCTTATCCACAGGCACTTCGTATATTCCTGAAAATAGAAAAGAAAATATATTAAGTAAATTACTTAGATACTTAATAAATTATAATTCGATCAAATATACAGCAAGGTATGAAATTATCTCAACCGTACGAGAAATTCGTATTCTCTAAATGAAAAGAGAAACATTCATTCGAAAGTTGGCTCTGATGATGATTAAGGATAGCAGAAAATCCTGATATGCAACGTGATGCATATTCATCAGGATGGACTAAAAATCTAAACCTTATCTATCACGTGCAAGAATCTATTTATAGGCACTGAACTGATTTTCAAATATGTTCAGACAATGATAATGAGGCAGTCATTTCAAGTTCAATTCTTTACAATCAGCCCAGAAGTAGAAATGAATCAAGTTCTAGTTTCCATATTTAGTTCTCACCATTTTTACCATCGCCTGGCAAGGGCTTAGACTGGAAAAAGTCGCCTAGAAATGCACATACTCTTTTCAAATCGCTTAGACCAACATATATAAATTTAAACCTCACAGAATAAAGTTTATTTAAATACATATACATCTTGCTCATATAAGTGAACCTGTTGGCTCGTCTGGCAGGTATTTGTGCAGGTGGAAATCTTCTGGCAATTTGAATTTTTGAACTTCTCTCAATGAAAAAATAGATCATATACAAATTTTTAGCACACAAAAACATTTTTTTTTATATTTTAAACTCTTCCAAATGGGCGACCATGATGTGCAGGACTGAAACCTGTCAGGCCAGTACAATTTTCTTTAACCTTATAGGGACACAGTTATTCAAAAGTTCTTGATTCAAACTTATTTACGGCATTTGTAAAATTAATAGTATTTGAAAGAAAAAAATATATTGGAATTGTAGAAACGACCATAAGCAGTAAGCACACTAAGCCAAATGCAATAAAAGTTCGATGAAAACCGTTTCGTTAAGAATAGATTTTAATGATATTTTAATAAGAATGAAAAAGCTTCTGTAAATCAATTCGATCGTTCATTGTGATTATTTATATTAACAATGTTTACTTGTTACAAAATATTTGGTTCAGGCATTTATTCAAGTTATATTTAGACTAAGTATGAGCAAAATTATATTATTGAAACTTGTTGACATTGTCATTATCAAGATATATAAATATTCAATAAATATGAAAATGATATGCTCTATTATCCAAGTATATAAAATTTATACTTTTCTTTGGGATATAGTAACGCCAAAAACTTTATAACTCCTTAATATATTATTTTATTTATTATTATTTTTAAAATATGTTATATCTTCAATTGAATGTTTATTTTTTTAAATTAGATTATTCAATTAATTTGGGGTACAAGCATGTATGGCTTTCTTTAATCATTAATCAAGTTATATTTTTGATGGTACAAAACAGTACAATATTCATTCAAAATATCAGTGCGCCAACCTTTTCTGGTAAACGTTTGTAATAATTGATGTATTATACATAACAATTTCCATACAATGAATAAGCAATGATTATTATCTTAATTTGATTTTCGAGCATGTTTCCAAATAAAACGAAGCAGAAATTTTGACAAATTTTCGGGACTGTGCTATGTTTTGAATTTTTACGTAAAAGTTGCAAAATAGACTAACAGCGTTAACAACGTAATACGATTATTACCAAAGTACACATTTTAATTTTAATTTTGGTAATTAAAGAGTTTGTAAATGTTAATTATTAATTAACTTTGTGCATGGTATTTATTTTGACATGTTCATTCTAATTGGAAAATATGATCCAAACTTCGCATATAGTTCACCTTCGGTTTATTTTGAAGATTAAAACTGAATAACTAAATAACTAATAATCCTAAATACATAGTTCACGTTTAATTTTTCAATTCAAGACTTCAACTTTCAATTTGAGAATATATATCTAAATTTCATTACCAGAAACAAAATAAATAGATATAAACATTATTGACTACATACTGAGCATGTGTATGTTTAATAAAATTATATAAAAATCTCTGATGTTTTCAAAATTGTTTTATATGCAAAATTCAAGATGCAATAGATTATCATTATTATCATTCCATTATCTTTATGGTATTAAATTTTTGTTTCAATTCAAGGATATTCAAATAAAATTAGTTTATAGAATATATTGATTTTCATTTGCGTCATATTTAAATAGGTTAATGCTTTATCACACCAGATTAGAGCATTATTTCATTATTATTGGACTGAATTATTGTTTGATTAATATATACTGCAATGTATCGGATGAATAAAGAATTTATTGGTGCAAGAATAATATTCTATCACACCAAGTTTATTGACTTCGTTTAAGAAACTAAATATTTGAAAACACATTGAATAAAAAAACCGGTATAACATTTATGTTTGTAGGAAAAAATTAATTAAAAAAAAAGGAAAAAAAATAAGTAATATCGATTTTGCAGTGATATGTGGAGCAGACTAAAATGGACGGGAAAGTTGTTATTTTTCATATATTCATTTTTTACATTATATTTTCTATGTGCTTATTCATCAATCAATTTTGCATTTATTTGATATAATTATTATCGATTTCCAAAAAAAAAAAAAAATCCGTTCAATTACCTGATCCATTTCCTATGCTGGGAGCTTCTGGTGGATTTGCTCCAGCCTGGACAGCGTCATACATCGGGTTAGAAAAGTCTCTAGATTTACCGCCGTTCATTGTGTCTAACGTATAAGCAGTAGCGGCATCTAACGGTTCAGGACCTCCACTTCCACTTCCTGGATTTGGACCGAATTCGATGTTGTTGCCTGAATGACGGAAGCTGACGCTCTGAGTTGGTGAGAGGCTACTCAAACCGCTACCAAAGCCTTTTCCACTATGAAAAGAAATCATGATTGTATAAATTATGGCTGTTGGCGTCAGAAATAACTGTTGCTCACAAATATGGATATGGATAAGGAACAATATTCTATCTCATGCCAAATCATTGCGTGGAATAGAATTATGAGCTTATTATAGCTCATAATTTCATTGTACTTTAACAAGTACTCTGAATGGTATATTTTTCTAATAAGTACTTACAATGGCCTCTTTCGGAGAACGAACCAAGTGCCAGCTGCTGCACCAAAAACGAGCAGTATTACTACTATCGGTATCACAATGGCGGCAGCATTAGCTGATCCAGCAGCCAAAGAGCGTGCGGCGTATTCCTGCAATAAGGCACATTAATGTTTATTGTTAAAAGTCCGTGAACAAAAACTATTGAATCTTATTTTTAATTTCTATTACATAATGAACAATAGATTTACAAAAGAAAAAAATGTTGAAATGCTTAGAAATGTGTAATTTAAAAAATCGATTAGCATATTGCTTACAGACTTCGTTGATTTCATACAAATTTTGATATTTCCTAAGTAGGTAATATTTAACTTCCCGTAGAGCAAGTTTCTTGGCATACCGAACAAATGGATGTGCGTGTGTGTGTGTTTTGTGTGTCCGCAATTATACGTCCAAGTTTTCGGGCGCACGGATAAACCGATTTGAATGGTTCAAAAAAACATTCGATTTCTATTGATAGGGAGATGTGCTGATTAATTTTTCGCAAAGACAAGTACGGCCGTCTCGGAGATACAGAAAAAAGAGTGCAGAAAATAGAAATCGAATTTTTGAGAGAACGGAGTAACCGATTTAAATGATCCAAAGAACATCCAATTTATAATGATGAGGAGAATTGGTGATTAGTTTTTAGCAAAGGCAGGTAGAGTTATTTCGGAGATACAGAGCTAAATGTCTAAAAAATTGCAGTTTTTGAGAGAACGAAGCATCCGATTTGAATCTGCCTGCTTGTGTTGACGAAACAATTGCCTTTAGTGAATTTTTTTCTTTTATTTCAAAATTAAACTTTTTTAACAATTTTTTTTTGTATATCGAAAATAATTCGGATTTTAATTTTAATTCTGGCTGAAGTCCTAGGGCTCACTTATATACTTTAAATAAATAATTGTAACTTTGGAATTCAATTCATATATTTCTATATGAATGATATTAGACAATGTCCATCATTTTAAATATGAATGATTAAGTTTTGTTTATTCACTTTTCTGTAATACATATATAGACGTCGTAGTTCAATTCATGAGCTCTTGTATTTTTTCTATTAAATAAAAATAATGAAAGTTACAGTATTTATAATAATCAATAATTAAGGCATGATACCATACATCACTAACTTTAACTCAGTCATTTTCTAAATTGTTTTACAGATTCTTAACAAAAATAAAACGACAAGTCTAATAAAGTACTGTACGGTAGATACGTTCCAAAAAACTAGCGTGTTATGCGAATCCGTGTTATGCGGGACAAGGAACTAGTACAACCTCCAGATAGTACTTTTCTGTACTACCTCCAGATCCGTGTATTATTTTTTGCAAAAAATTATTTGCGGTTACTTGCATTTAGCGGAAAGTTATTTATATATTTACCAGAGGCTAAAAGTTATCTTTATTAAAATTTTATGCTCATTTTCTTAAAATGAACTTTGTTTAAGACTTATTTACTAATTGTTCGGACAAGCTTAGAATTTTTTTCAATAGTAGGCGCTCAAATAATAAGTATCAAATTAGTTATTTTTTGCATTAGTTTCATCACATTTATTGAGCTATTGTACGGCGATTTTAATAATTTTAGATTAAATATTTGATTTTGATATTACTATATTTCTTATTTTATTAAGTTAGAGCGAACCCGTTCTTTAAAAGTACCGTATTATGAGGGGGATGGTATCAATTCTCAAACCGTGTTAGAGCGAATCCGTGTTGTAGAATTTGCAACTTTTCAATTATGACGTTATCAATAAAGCTATTAATATAAATTAATTATACTATTTAACTATACGTAGCACTTCCAAAATATACTTTTTCTTTGTCATATTATGATAAGGTAATTGTAATCATTCTAATTACTCACCTCACAATGTAGACCACTGAAACCAGGTGCGCAAACACACAAAGGATTCCAACCAGCTTCTGACTGCGAGCTGTGTTCTGTGTTATTCGGTTCTACACAATGACCACCGTTTTGGCATGGACAAATACGGGGTGCTGGACGAGGCCTTTCCGCAGCTATTGTAATAAAAATATTTTTTCAATATTATGATATCATATAATAATTGTTTTATCACCACAACTATTATATCACAACTATTATATACCCATATAATTTAACGTTCGATTATCATGAAATGTTGCAACCGATTCTTCATGCGGATAATACATTTACGCACTTTTTACAAATATTTTTATATACCACATTATATTTGAATATAAATGAAATAATTACTTTCCTTATTAGAAAGTCAGACTTTCTGCTTCATAAACAACTTTTACATTATGATTTTCTTCGCTAAAATTTTAACATACCGCAACTCTGCTCGATGCCAAAGTTATTGTGGTTCAAAATAATATGAGAGACTTCCAAGAATTGTATTTATAATAATGATCGATATCTTTTTTTACACATTTGTGACGCCCCTATGCCAGATGGCTTTCCTATGGGTGTTTGATGATTATTGAAATCAATGTCAGGCATTCATTTGAATATTGAATATCGATTACAATTATATATAGAATAACAATGGCTGAAAATGTATCGACTATAATAACTTTAAAAAATAATAACAACAAGAATAAATCGTATTTATCGACAAATAATAATATCTTGGTTTGCCAGGCATATCTTTAGTTTGGCAGTTGCGCAGACTTACTTTATATAGTTTTAAAAATTATATTTTTTTTAATTATTTTATAAAATTGATACATACCTGCATCACAAATAACTTCAGCTGTTGTCCTGTGAGACGGCGGTTGGGCAGTGTTATCCGGACAAGCGCAACGCCTACCTCCTGGTACTAGGAGACATAAATGCGAGCAGGCACTCGAATGACAAGGATTGTGCAATGATGTATTGTAGCGAGCAGCATGGTAAACTGAAATATTCAACTCATATTTTATTCAGATCTTAACTTTCAAATAATATATATTATAACCAGAATCAGCATGGCCTCGGATAATAGATACGGCAGATACCGCTGTAGCTAAGTGATTTTAACATTCAATCAATATTTTTTTATTCTAATGATTAAACTCAAGAAATTAACTTAAATAATAATTAATTTTGTGTAAACAAAAATTATGATTTTAAATTTGTAGGTATAAATATAACTACAATATTTCAACAACAATGGAATAAAGATAATGAAAATGAATTAAATCATTCTAAGCAATCGGAAAAATTATGATGTAGCTTGTCACTCACCTTTCACACTGCTTGGATTGACCAAGTCTTTAGCAACAACAACCGACACGCCTCTTCCAAATTTATCTTGTTGCAACAACTCTCCAGTATCTCTTGTTACCCAATATAAAGTTGACTCAAATACATCTAAGGAAATAGGATGGCGTAATGCTTCGCCCTTTAATATCGTTCTTCTTTGCGATCCATCTGGTTTCATTACCTCAATTGTATTCAATTTCGTATCCACCCAGTACACAGAGTTGTCCATATTATAATCTATTGCCAAGCCTGACAGAGAAATGTTTTAAATTACTTTTTAAATAAAACTAATAAAGTAAAACCGGTATTAAATAATACTATAATATCACTATAATATTTTTACAATTGGCATATATTTATCTTACCAGCTGGATGCCTTATGGCCTCAGTAATAAGGGGTCTACGTTTTGATCCATCCATCCATGACACTTCGATCTTAGGAGCTGATCCTGCATCTGCCCAGAACATTCTTCCAAGTTGTGGATTTAAAGCAACAGAAGTCGGACTTTCGAGTCCTGCACTTACAAGTGCCCTACGATATCTGCCATCAGTTTTAGCTACCATCACACGACCGCGTGGTTTCGATCCAGAACGACTGTAATGAACAAACAAACATATACTATTTTTGCATTGCAACAATATTGAAACATAAAATGCACAAAATACTAAATACTTAAGCATCTGAAAACTTGGAATTACGAGCCTAACTTGAGGTAATAAACCTGAATTGCACATAAAAAATAATTTAAGATAAAATACGCTTAATAAAGGTTAGTAAAATTTCAAACTAAATTAACTGCTAAGAAATAAAAATTTTAAGTGAATAGTAGGGCCAGCGGTGGCGATATCGGTTAGAGCGTGGGCTAGCAGCAACTAGTCCCGGGTTCGCTGGTTCGATTCCCGCTATCTTTGATGTCAAATTTCCACTTGAGATTTTAGATCACAATATAATTCCAAGTAGAAATCGTCTTTCGTGAACATCCAATCATGTGTTAACTATTAGACGTAAGAACTAATATCAAAAATATCCTACACATAAGAGAATGGTTAATCGGTGGATTGCCTCTCATAAAATACATAAGTAGTCATAAGTCCTTAACAAACAAACAGGTTATAGAACATATAAGAGTTCTGATTGCTGATCAAAACAATAAAAAAAAGAAAAGTAAAAGCATTATTATACCTGTCAGTTTCAGTCCAGTATAAATTATCGGCGACCCAATCGATGGCGAGAGCTGTTGGTTTGGAACCACCTTTCATATCCAAATCTTGAGCGTGACCGGATTTAGCGCGTCCGTCTTGTGCATTTACCATGTACGATCGTTTTATAGTTTTGTCGTAGCTGTCAGCCCAGAAGACAATTTGCGTATCTGGTGCATAATCCAAAGCTTCAATGCGTTTTTCGGAGTCAATGACTTCAACTTCATCTCTGAAATAAATAATTACCATGTGCTGCATACTTTGTTCAAAAATATTATAATCCATTGCAATTATCTCAGCTTCCTAGAATATTTCTTGTTCACTTTTCAAAGATTGAATAATGTAGAACAGAAAACATAAAACAGTAATAACTCCCTTTTTCTCGATGTGCATGGGTAGCAAAAATAAATCTTGAAAACTAATGACCCAACATAAATTTATATTTTATATTTTATTTGATATATAAGTTAAACCATTATATTTATTGAGCATATATCATTCTTTAAATAGTGAGGAGAGTAATATGCAATTTATGAACAGAATATTTAACAATTATAGCAAACCTTTCTCTAAAGCTGTATGTTCTGATTTCCGGTCCATTGGCAAACACCAAAGAAACGCCTTGCTTCTCCTCACTTTTGCAAACACCCGAAGTACCGTCTTGCAATCTAAAACCAGGGGCGCACGAACATGCAAATGTACCGTTGAGATTTGAACAGATTTGTGAGCAATGGTGGGCACCAGTTGCACACTCATCAACGTCTTCGCATTTTTTACGGTTCTCTGGAGATATTATGAAGCCAGGATAGCATGCACAAATGTATCTGCAATTGAGAATTGATTAGCGTGAGTTCTCTTGAATATGACTCAACAATCAAAGAAAAATTCTATAATTAGAAATACACAATGACTCACCCTCCATCAGTAAGATTAATACAGTGCTGTTCACAACCGCCTCTATCTGAACCAGGCTCTGAGCTGCAACTCTTGACGTGGTGACAACCTAATTCATCGGATGAATCGCCGCAATCGTCCGCAAAATCACATACCTGTTATAGATATTAAAAATGTAAAATATTTGTATGACTGATTGAGTTCCAAAAGTACAAACTATTGAAATCGCCACAAAACCGAAAACTATTTTTTGTTAATTTTAAGTTTCAATTTTAGAGTTTCTGAGTATGTAGGCAGTCAACAAATAATCTATCGTTATCTTAAACTATTATATAATTATAAAATAATATCGTTATCTTTAAATTTTACAATATAATAAAATTATAATTTAACTGCAGTAAATTAATTTCTTTTGTTCAAAATATGGAGATAAAGAAATTTGCTTCGAAGCACTGAGAATACTTAGATGTTTACCTGTGTTTTATCAATACATTTCTTATTGGCGCATTGGTATTGTGCGTAAGGATCACAAGGTTTGGGTCGAGCAGAACAAAGTGTCATATTATTTTCGTCACTTCCATCACCGCAGTTGTCCACACCATCACATAGTTGATATCTTGCTACACATCTGTGAGAATTACGATAATTCAGTTTTACTTATATATCAATAGATCAAAGGTCTATATTATATACTTTGTCTACATAATTATACTGCGCAGAACAAATGGTATAAATGGAAAATCTTTATTTATTTGAAATAAAAAAAATAAAAATTTGAAGATAATATCTTACCTGTGATTATCGCATTGGAATCTGCGAAGGGTATCACAAGTAAAGTTGGTGCACATATCCTGCAACTCATCACTTCCATCACCGCAGTCATCAGTTCCGTCACAAAGATCAGCTTGGGAAACACACAATTTATTCGCGCATTGATATTTTGATTCTGGACAATATCTTCCGCCTGGATATCGGGCTGGGCAGTCTATCTCGTCTGACATATCACGACAATCTTTGTCTCCGTCGCAGCGGAAGTGTGAGGCGACACAGTGACCACTGGCACATTGGAAGGTACCATTCTTACATTGATAGCCCATACAACCCTATAAATAGAACGATAAGAATAATAAATAATTGTTATTCTTTATTCAAAATCTAGTAATGTAAAATCGCAATTCAACATTTGATCGCGGGTTATTATTATTATTATATAATGTAAATTTTATGAAACCAAATAAATTGACATAATCAATGATAATAGTGGCCTACCTGTTCGTCAGTATCATCTCCACAGTCATCTTCGTGATCGCATCGCCACCTTGCAGAAATACATTTTCCATTTCCGCACTTGAATTCACTCTCAGAACAATCACGGTATTTACCAGTGCAACGTGCTTCAGTTTCATCCGAGCCATCACCACAATCATCAGCAAAATCACACAACCATTGCCTGATAAAAATATATAATTACATGAATATTGTGCAATGAATAATAAATATTATCTTGCAATTATTTAGATTACTTACTTGGGAATACATCGGTTATTAGCACATTTGAAATCAGTTTCAGAATTGCAAGCAGGGCAATTGGCTGGTAACTCGTCGCTATTGTCGCGGCAATCATCCTTACCATCGCAGAACAACCATTTGGGAATACATCTAAAATAAAAAATGGTAATAATTACTTATTTATCATTAATAATTACAAACACAATAACTTATCTAATAAAAATTTCACCACTAACCTGTAATTTGATTGACCAGGGCAGCGTTGCCATCCAGTTGTACAATTTCTTTGACGACACATGTAAGCAGGCTCATCAGAATCATCACCGCAATCGTTATCAAAATCACACATCCATAGTTTAGGAATACATCTGCCATTTTTGCATGAAAATTCAGTATCTGGATCACAAGCCCGCTTGTCTAAAACAAAACACAAATTGAAACTTTAAATCACAACAGTTAATCAATCATCGGTAAGTATATATTATAAAATTTTATAATAACAGTATAATTGTGAATCACTCATACCTCATATAGATTGCAAAATCAATAAATGGCATATTCTGCCGCAAAGAAATAAACCATACTCACTAATTAAACATTAAATATAAATAAACCATAATAACATGTTCCTGCTTTTCGTTTGTTGCATTTTTAACATATATAGTTGATAACAACAACTTACACAGTTTTTATAAATTTTTAGACAATTGAATTTTATTTTCAAAAACAAGAATTAAAATCACCGTGATTCTCAGAAATAATGCTTATTGATATTACTTACGACACATAGCCGGATCTTCATCACTGCCATCCTTACAATCAGCATCTCCGTCACAACGCCAGCTGTCTAATACGCAACGTCCACTGGATTTGCATTTAAATTCATGTTCTGGACAAGGTAAGTCACAATGTTGTTCGTCAGAAGAATCACCACAATCATCAGCGCCATCGCAAATTGTTACTGAGGGCGTGCAATTGCCATTCCGACACTGGAAGGAACCAGATCGGCATGTACGAGCTGGGCAAGTAGACGGCTCATCCGAACCGTCGCGACAGTCCTTTTCACCATCACATCTATTGAAGTTATCAAAATAGTTATATTATGTTTTGCATGCAATTGAATCATATAAGATAAACCGCAACTGAATTTATCGAATGTATTTCAAATTTTTTCAACAAAAATAGTTTAATAAAACTTTTAAGATTCAAATATAATAATTTCAGTTTAATAATTATTTTGAATAAAATCTATTGATTGAATCTTTATTAAATAACTTACTTCCAGAACCACGGTATACATTTTTCATCATTGCCGCCGCATCTATGCTGTCCTTCTGTGCAATTGGCAATGCATGTCTTCATATCTCTCGCCAAGTAAAATTGGTTCGGACATGCACATCTATATCCTGTGGCACCATCCTCAGTGTAGCCCTCGACGTTCAAATAGCTGGATTCAAGTGGCGGTGAAATCAAACACAAATGCGTGCAACCTCCATTGTTAGTACCACAAGGGTTTGTGTATGTAATTTGACGTAAAGGATGAACAATATGAACATCATAGGGTCGGTGAGTAGTATTTCTTATAATGCGATAATCAGCTCCACTAAATTTGTTGGCACTCAAAATAGCTTTAATATTCCAATCAGTCCAATAAAGTGTATCGTCAAAGATTGAAAGAGCGAATACATGTGGAACTTTATTTCCAGATAAAACAATATGTCGATGTCGTCCTTCTAAATCAGAAAATGCTATATAATCTAAATGCGCATCTGCCCAGTAAATTCTGTCGGTGAAATAATCGATCGTTAAAGCATTTGGCCAAGCGATATCATCTTCCCATGTTAGAATTCTAGTGAAATTAGATCCATCCATACCCATTTTGGCAATATAGGCTTGCAAATGCCATGAAGTGAAATACAAGTATCCAGTGCCAGGATGTACAACTAAAGCTCTAGGATCCGCTATACCAGTTTTCAAAGTTTTCCTTCTGGTGCCATCTAATTCTGCAACATCTAGATTCTTCGAATGCCGATCCAACCAATATAATTTTCTACCAATCCAATCGATAGCTATACCTTCCAAACCGTGAGAATCGTGTCGCACAATAGGTTCTTTCTCAGATACTTCAGAGAAATAGTTTGATCTAAAGATTGTTTTTGCCGTGACGTCACAGAAGTAAACTTTTTTATCGGCGTTGTCAAAATCTACAGCCACAACATTCATTAAGTCTTGGTGCATCACATTATATTTAGTTGCATCTACCGACATATTACGTACATAGTACTTATTAGTAAATATCAGCCATGGTTCTGTGTTGTCTTTTCGCTTACAAGTATGTTCATCTAACTGACGTTCATAGTATCTTTCATCACATTTGCAGTAGAAACCACCAGGAGTATTTGAACAATGCTGTGAACAAACTCCAGGCGTTTCAAGGCATTCGTCGATATCGGCACAAGCTTTACCGTCGCTTAATAGTTTATAACCTTGATTACAATCGCAGTAATAGCTCGTTAAAGTATCGACACATTTATGGCCGCACTGATGTATTTCTACTTTGGCACATTCATCGACGTTACAGTGAAGAGGCTCATCGGAATCATCCTTACAGTCTGAAACTTTATTGCAAACGAGATGGTAATCAATACATTGACCATTCTGACACTGGAATTGTGTAGGGTCAGCACAAGTTGCATTCTCTTTCTTACAACCAACTTCATCAGATCTGTCACCGCAATCATCTTCTCCGTCGCATCTATATTGACTTCTGATGCATTTGAAATTTTGGCACGTGAATTCTTGAGTTGAACATGTTTTGTATTGCGAATTACAGAATTTACCCTCATCAGTACCGTCACCACAATCATTATCGTGATCGCATAACCAACCTTTATTGATACATCTGCCATTTTCGCAAGCAAACTGTTCTTCCCCGCAAGGCTGTGGACTAGGACAATGATGAGTAGTTGTATTTTCATCGGCTCCATCGACACAATCAGGATCACCATCGCAGAGCCATTTTCGTGGTATACATTGCGCTCGTCCCCAGGCTTTATTTTCTGTACAAGTAAATTCTGTTTCATCGTCACATTTTCTGTCATTACATTGATGACGATCATCTTCATCACTGTTATCCAAACAATCATTATCTCCATCACAGATATAAATTCGAGGTATGCAGTTTCCATTATCGCATGTGAATAAATCACCGAAGCAAGTTCTTCCTTCACTCTTGCAATACTCTGGTGGTTCATCAGATCCATCTCCACAATCGTCATCGCCGTCACAATACCATGTTGCAGGAATGCATCTATGGTTCGGACATCTAAAACTATTCTGAGGACACGTTCTTTGCGCGCAGTGTAAAGGATCTTCATCGCTGTTATCTCCACAATCATTGTCTCCATCGCACAACCAGTAGGGTTCGACACAAATATTGGTATTTTTACATTTTAAGTGATTAGCTGCGCAAGTAGTATTTTGTGGGCACCGTTCATGAGTTTCATCAGAGGTTACGTTGTCTTTACAGTCATTTACTCCATTGCAGACCTGTGACATCGGAATGCATCGTGAGTTCGCGCAAGTGAACTCGCCATCAGCACATGGAGGATATGTGCAACCGACCTCGTCAGATCCATCTTTGCAATCGTTTTCGTGATCACATTTCCAGGACTTAAATATGCAGCGACCATTTGCACAACGGAACTCGTTCGGAGAGCATGAGTGGAATGCTGAAATAATTCATATTTTGTTATTTATCTACTTTTTAAGTTTAAATGAATACAAAATTGATATCAAGTGGTAATAACTTAGTCAATTTTATATTTTAGTTCATAATAAAGTTACAACAAAAATATTTCGAAGAAGTATAAACCAAAATACTTACTGCAATAATTTTGATCTTCATCACTGTTGTCACCACAATCATCATCGCCATCGCAAGACCACATCCTTGATATACACTTTCCATTCTTGCAATAAAATTTACTGGAATCACATGTGAGGTTTTTAGCAACGCACATTCTTCCTTCATTAACCAATTTAGAATTCTCATCGCATTTACATTCGGCGGTACCATTCATGCCAGGGTGGCAGCTTTGGGCGCAACCACCATTATTGATATTGCATGGATTTACCTGACACACCTGTCTAGTGAGAGAGTAAATATGTATATCCCTAGGAGAATCATCCAAGCGTTTAACAATGTCGATCATATTGGCTCCAGTATGCTTTTCTGCTCGATAGACACCTTTCAATTGCAAATCGGTCCAGTATATGTGTTCGCGGAATACCGTTATTGCAAATGGATAAATTGTAGCAGAAATTAACACTTCTCGATTTCCGCCATTTAAGTCTGATCTTTCAATTTTTTCGCGGACCGCATCAGTCCAGTACAACATGCGTTCTTCGTAATCGATGGCAAGTCCACTAGGTTGAGATAAATCGGTGTCCACAATCGCTTTCTTCAATGATCCAGCCATCGTAGTTCTGAAAATTTTACCTGATGTTCCAAATCTTCCCCAATCAGTATAGTACAGTGATCCATTACAGGGATCTAATATTATGGCACGAGGTCTCTCGACTCTGGCTATCATGACTAGTTCTGAACCATCAGTGTTCATTGCGTAAATTGAATTATTGGAACTGTCGGTCCAATAAATTTTCTTCTGTGTCCAATCATAAGCAATTCCTTCTGGATTGATACCCTTATTTAGAATGGTTTGCATTTCTGAAGAAGATGGATTATCGCTTGGTAACCAACCAATACGTGCCCATGGTCGAATTTGCGTGAAAAATAGTTTATGATCTGCATAATCAAAATCTAATCCAACAACATTTGTAAGATTTCCCTGGAAAAAAATTCATTTGTAAATCAATTATTGTTGATACTATATAAAATTTATTAAAAAGTTTATACTAATATAACAACTTGTTGAAAATTTGTAAATAAAAAGTTAAATTTTCAATTATCATTTTTTGATCTATTATGATATACTTACAAGTGGAGCGAATGGCACACTATTCGATTTAGGGTCCAGAGCAACACCTCTAATTTCAGTTCTTGTTGAAAACACAATATATTCGTTCACAGTTTCACATTTTTTACCATCGGCAGCGAGTTTTCCACTTGCACATTCACATTTGAAAGCAGGAAGGTCTTGACGATCTCTTGGCATGGCAAAACAAAGTTGTTCGCAACCGCCAACTCCATATTTCAAACATGGATGTAATTCCTCCAAAGGTTGGTTTGATGCGTCAAATATTGAAATGTCTCGCAATTTATCTAAATTAGTTCTAACTCTTTCCGGTAAAGTCGTATTTCCAGGCAATTTAGAAGCTTTGTATACAGTTTGCAAATTTCTATCTACCCAATAAACATCAACCACATGAATTGCTAAACCCATTGGATTTGGTAAATTTCTTCGAATTACTTGTCTATTGCCACCACTATATGACACCTTTTGAATCATATCGAGTTTGGAGTCAACCCAATATACATCGTGCGTTAACATGTCAATGGTCAAATCACGTGGATTCGATATACCTGATGTAACCAATGGAGTCCAATTAGAACCGTCTAACAAAGCTTTTCCAATTCTTGGGTATTGGCCATAATCAATCCAATAGAGCACTCGTTTTAATGGATTTACAGCCAGTTCTCTAGGCGCATCGGTTGTCGTTTTGACTAGTAATTTTCGATTAGTTCCATCTAACCAACAAACTTCTACATAGTTTTCATGCGGAAAGACGTTTGTGAAATACATGTTACCAGCAATCCAGTCAATCGTTAAACCTCTGATTCCATTACTTCCTATACCATCCTTTATTATTTGTTGCAATTCTGAACCATTAGGACGTACTCTGAATATTCCATTCCACTGACCCCTATTGAATTCTACCCAATATATCCAATTTTCTTTATATAAAATATCAACATGTAAAATATGATGTCCTGGTCCAGAAATAGGCAGCATGGCTTCGGAACTATCTTCTAAACTATATCCTCTAGCAACATCTAATTGTGCAACGACAGCGAATGTGCGATAAGGTTTACACCTTACTTCATTTTCCTTCTTGTGTCCCATACTACAGGCGCATACTCTTGAATTTGATTCAGCTGGGATACATAATTGTTCGCAACCTCCATTATCTACTAAACAAGGATGCTGACTGAAAGATCTTTTCTTAAACATTGTAAGTGATCGTAAATCAGCTTCATTTTCCATTATTATTTTTGGATGATCACCATTTGGTAAATCCACTCGCACAATTTTTTCATGAAGTGGATCTAAATAGTATAGCCTACGATCAAGAACTGCTAATGACTTAGGTCTTGCAATATCATTTTTCTCAGAAAGCAACGTTCGCCGGTCGTCACCGTTAGTGTTCATCTCTATAACGGCTGGGGGATGCTGGGAGCTAAAATATAGCATTTTAGTTTCAAGATCTATAGTTATAGTTTCAGGTCTTTCTACATCTTTTATTAAAACAATCGAATTTGTACCGTCCATATTGACTTTGCCAACTTTGGAAGGAACACCGAAACCGCCCTCATCTATCCAGTAAAGTTTGCCTTGCGATGGGTCTAAACACATAGCTCTCGGCTTAGCTACAGACGTAGCATTTCCGTCATTAGCCAGAATTACTTTTCTATGTTTTACTTTACCGTCAACTTTAATAACTTCTAAATTGCCCGCAATTTTATTGGCAATAAACAGATTTCTACCAAGCCAGTCAAAAGCAATAGCAAATGGAGCTCCTATAATACCAGTGTTAACTCCAAGAAATTCTGTTTTATTTCCACCTCCATAAGGTGTTGTATAAATGGTACAATTTTCATCATCTTCTTCTTTTCCTTGTACCCAGTATAACGTCTCGCCTTTTCTATCAAAGTCTAACCCGGTTCCTCCTTCAATACCAACAACTGGAGACATTGTACCTGCTCTAGAATCACTATTTACTAAAGGTACATCAATGATTTGAGTTCCTTTCATAACCATCAAATACGCAGTGTCTTCTTCTGTACATTTACCTTCAGATATAAGCTTATAGCCAGGTTTACACTTACATGCATATCCTTTTGCCTCAGATGGACTTAATAAGCATATATGTTGGCAGCTGGCTTTGATACATGGATTATCTGACATAGGTTGTAACGAAGGATGATGAACATGTATAGATAATGGTTGAGATATTAAATGAGAAACCACTGTTTGATTTGTACCTTTAAATTTGTGTGCTGATAGAACTCTATTTAATTGCCTATCGGTCCAATATAACGTATCTTCAAATAAGGACAAGGAATGCGGATGTAACAAGTAATGACTTCCCGATAAAACTTGTTGCCTTCCAGTACCATCGTAATTACAAAAATCAATAAAGTCTAATTTAGAATCGGCAAAGTACACGCGTTTATTAGCAGTATCTAGCGTTAAGCCATTAGGCCAATATATTTTGGTATTTATTATAGTAGATCTCATTGTGCCATCCATACCCACACGTTCAATTCTAGGATTTTCTCCCCAATCTGTCCAGAACAACCATCTTGTACCTGGTGTAGGATCCAAGCACATGCCGCGGGGCTGAGTAATATTTTCTCTAACAAGCACAATTCGATTAGAACCATTTTCTTTAGAAACTTCTATTGTATTTAATTTGCTATCCAACCAGTATAAATTACCACCGACCCAATCATATGCGAGTCCTTCCACTAAGTCTAGACCAGTTGACATTACTTCTCGTGGTTCGCTACCTCGATCCAGTCGAGATATTTTCTTTAATTTCATGTCACTCCAAAAGATTGTACCAGTATGCATATTTGACGCCGTAGCTACGACATTTTCTACAATAATAGGAACACGTTCCAACCCTTGTTCTTTAAGATCGGCTACTAATATAGAGTGTCTGTTGGAAATGATTAGGAAAGCAGCAGAGTGATTCACAGCTTTGCAAGAATGTTTATCTGGTTCTAGAATGTAGCCATCAGTACATGAACAATAATATGAAGATTTTACATTTGTGCATGTTTGAGAACAAATACCAGGTGGCCAGCATTCATTGATATCTTCACATGTAAATGAATCATTGCCCAGGGATTCACCATGTGGACATAAACACATAGCCCCTAATGGTGTTTGTTTGCATCCATTTGAACATAATCCGCCTTGATGCATACATTCCGCTAAGTCACAACCCGGGCCTTCATCTGAACCATTAGGACAGTCTTGTTTACCATCACAAACAGATGTCATATTAACACATCTATTTGTGACTCCCGGACATTGCCATTGCCCAGATGGGCATCTAAATGGCGGAGGAACACACGCGTGCTCAGCACTTTCATCTGAACCATCTCCGCAGTCATCTTTTCCATCACAAATATATGCTTTGAAAACACATTGAGAGTTATTGCATTTGTAAAAGTTAGGAGCGCAATCAACTTGCCCACACGAAGGTGGTTCATCTGAATGATCATCACAATCTGGTGTACCATCACAATGCCAAGTTCTTGGAATACATATGCCTGAGCTTTGACATTGGAATTGTTTTTCATCGTTGCACCTATCAGGTGCGATTGAAGGGCAACCTAATTCATCACTGCCATCGTTACAGTCAGGTATGCCATCACATTTATATGCTTCTTGAACACATTGCCTCAAATCAGAACATTTGAATTGACTCGGTAAGCATGTTATAGGGGGACAATCAACTTCATCTTGCTTATCAAAACAATCGTCATCTCCGTCACAAACCCATGATTGCGGTATACAATGCCCTGTACGAGGACATGTAAATTGGAAGTAAGCACATGTTTTTTCTGCGCAAAAATCGCCTTCATCGGAACCATCACCACAATCATTTTCACTGTCACATTTCCAAGTATTTGGGATACAACGTCCGTTATCACATGCAAATTGTGAAGAACTGCATGTAAGATTTACGCAACCAGTTTCATCCGAAAAATCACCGCAATCATTTTCAGCATCACATTTAAATGTAAGGGGTACACATCGCCCGGATTTGCATTGAAACTCGTTAGCACCGCATGTAGGTTCTGTAAATAAATATTAATATTTTAAACACTGATACAATATATAGATATATGAATATGTATATGAATAATAATGAACCTAGTAATTTTTATCATTTATGTGACAAATTAAATAATGATAGTAAAGATAGTAAAGATTACTGAAATGTTGAAAAGTATACTAACTAGTACAGTTCTGTTCCTCATCACTATTATCCAGACAATCATTGTCACCATCGCAAACCCAAGATTTAGGTATACAACGCTGATTATTACATGTGAAGTCCCATGAATTTGGACAAGCTTGTACTGGTGGTTCTGCATTCGGATCAGCTTGACACGTTCTTCCATCGACTTCTGAAATTCTTTCACCATAGGGACATGCACACTGAGCCATTAATGTTCCTTTTGTGTCATTTCTTGGTACAGCAAAACAAATTTTATCACAGCCACCATTGTCAATAGAACAAGGTTGATTACGATCAACCACTTGCACTGCTTCACTATAGACTTTAACACCATATAGACGATTAGTTTGAGGTTCTTTCACCATTGTTTCTTCTTGCTCACCAGTTAACTTATGTAAGCGCACTATAGCGTCTAGCCTCCAGTCCGTTATATACATCCATTCATTATGAATGACTATAGAGAATGGATGTCTGATTAATCTAGAGTTCACAGTTTTAACATCAGTACCATCCAAATTCGAATGTTGCACATGGTCTAATAAAGCATCACACCAATATACACGATCTTCTTTGAAGTCAATTGATAAACCATTAGGCCAGCCTAATGTCACATTTTTAAACACAATCAATCCTGTGCCATCACTATTGGCTCTTGAAATATTTGCTGGACGATCCCATTCAGAGAAAAATATGTAACCTCGATTAGGATGAACTACAATAGCTCTTGGGCGCTTCAAATTTCGTAGTAACGTGCGTCTATGTGTAACATTTCTAGTTGATAAGACATTTAGAGTTCCTTTACGACTGTCTATATAATAAAGATTTTTAGATGCCCAATCAACTGCTAAGCCTTCCACTCCTTCATTTTGTGAAGCTAGCACAATTTCTCTACCAGTTCCGTTGCGGTAAACTCTATATATAACATCTTGAAGAACATCAGAATAATAAATATGGTGATCTCTTGCATCGAAGTCCAAACCAACAAACCTAGCTCTCCTTGATACAACTGGTAGGATTGCATCGCTAAATCCTTCGATAACAGGGTCCAAAACTTTGCCTTTGATGAAACGTTGCTGAGAGTACATGAGAAATTCTGTTACGAGATTACAATTTCTTAAGTCTGAAGCTAATTTCCAGCCAGTATGGCATGCGCATCTGAATCCGAGCGGAGCAGGTGAACTTTGATCTGATGATATCGCGGTTACAACACACATTTGTTGACAACCTCCATTATTATTGCCACATGGAGATGCTGCCTTCGGTTGGCTCAAAGCATGAACTGCTATAACAGCCCTAGGATCACGAACCTCTTTTGATTTATAAATTGCTAGGATGCTAGGCGTGCCTTCAAACCGATTTACGGACATAACACCTTGCTTTGTACCGTCAGTCCAAAATACTCGATTCTCAAATAGCGCTAATCTAGATGGACTTGGAACGGGTTGACCACGTAATACCATAACTCTCTTGTTGCCATCGTAATCTACAGTTTCAATATAATCTAATAACGAATCACACCAAAACACTCTCTTTGCTATGACATCCACAGCAACACCCGAAGCTTTGTAAGCCGCTTCTGAAACAATGCTGCGAGCATGCGTACCATCCATATGAGCTCTTAGAACGTGCCCACCATCAGCAACAAACATTAGTCCAGACGTAGGATCTAAAGCGATGTCTGCAGGACTGGTTAAGTTTGATCCAAGGACGACAGCATGCCAATGACCATCAAATTCAAAAACATCAACTTTTTGACCAACACTGTCAGCCACATATAATTTGTCTCCAACCCAATCGACTGCTATGGCAACAGGTGACCATGTTCCCGGAATAGCAATATCTTTATCACCAGACGTAAAAGACGCAAATGATGCACCGTTTAGTGTTTGCGCGTGAACTTTTCGCGTTTTTACGTCCGACCAGAATAACATATTGCGCTCGTAGTGAAATGATAAACCACTGGCACCAGTTGCATTTGCTATGCTGACCTATAAAATAGAACATACTATTAATATTCACGTAAATAGAATAATAATTAAACCGAACCAATTAATTACGTTTTGAAATCAATGACTGGTTGAGTTATTATAATGCAAAACTATATATAATATATAAGATTATATTTTATACTTACTGCGTCCTGTCCTAAATGAGACATTCTCAAAATTGCTCGTTCGTGTGCAAATATCAACTCCATAGAACCTGAATCTGGAGCCGCACATCTTCCACCTATAAAGATGAAAAACAAGTTCGTAATTAATTGTATTATTATAAAATTATTACTATTACTAACCGTTTCCTTCGCCATTTCTTAACATATATCCATGGGCACAACTGCACCGGAATCCTCCGTCTGTATTTTCGCAAAGCTGATCGCATTTTCCCCATTCAGAACATTCATCCAAATCTGAACATGTGCGATTATCGGCTATATTCAATGCCCTTCCAGCAGGACAATAGCAACGCCCACCAGTCAAAGACGCCGCGCATTTGTGTTCGCAACCCAGTGCGGGACATGATGCCGTAGCTGTAATGAATAAAAGTAGCGATATTCAATATCAAATAGAAACTATTTATTATGTAAATTTAAGCTTCCTCTTATTCCGATAAAATAATAAATATGATAAATCGAATAAAATTTGATATTGACTTTATCCGGCAACACTCATTTGAAGCAATACTCATTTTAGTGATATGTTATTTTATTTTAAATTCTAGGTAGAACACTTAGTCAAATATATAAATTTAATTTGGTAACAATACAAAAATAAAATAAATAATCCTATTTCAACTCACAGCACGCAGCTTCCTCGTCAGCTCCATCTTCACAATCTCGTTTGCCATCACAAAGCTGCGTTCGTGCGATGCATTTCGGTTGCAGAGCTGAGTTACTGCCGGACTGAGAACTCTGTGGACACAGAAATTTATCTCCAGGACAAGCAGCCGATCCAGTGCAGTTAGCTTCATCAGATCCGTCGGAACAGTCATGATATCCGTCACAATGAAATGATGCAGGTATGCAGAGCGCATCTGCGCAACGGAACTGACCGGCATGACAGGGTGGAAAATCTAAATAGTACATTATAAAACATTATTTAAGTTATTCAACTTGAATGGTCTTCTTGAATAATATGTTGATGCACTTGTTCTTAGCTGAATTAAAAATTAGCTGAATTATTACCATTCGATTTTACAAGGCATTTTCAAATGTTAATATATACTATTTAAAACTCGAAGAGGCATTTAAGGTGACTATTAAAAGACTGGCTCTTAATGAATGTACCAGTAGCCGTTTCACATATTGCAATCTACTTTAAGCAATTAAGAAAGTAGAAGGAATAAGCTTCGTGAAGCGGCAAGAAAAGAAATGTCCTTTCTTCCTGCTCTGCGTAATTTAGTTTGGATTAACCGGCAGCTTTGCACAAATTACTTTAATTACAATTTATAATACCTGTAATAGCGACCATATCATGCAACCACTAGGGCTCTAGAGATATTCTAAGGAATATTTTTTTTTAAATACAAAATCTTTATTTTATTAAAACTTGAATTCAAAAATTTCCAGATGATCATTTTTTTCTAATTTTTCTATTTTTTAATATTCATTTACTTTTGTAAGTTTTGTTTATTTTTTAATATGTTGGACAGTTTACAAAATTTCCATAGTTCTTCATAGTAAATATTGTAATTAAATGCGGTATAACATCAGCTCAATTGTTTTAAAAATTTAGAACATTTTGTTTACATAATCATGCTAATCATGGGAGAACTTACTGCATCCTTGTTCATCACTTCCATCGCCACAGTCGTCCCTGTGATTACATTTAGCAGATGACTCAACACATTTTTGACCATTAGAACACCTGAATTGTTCTAAAGTACAAGCTACGCCCATAACTACACCAGGTTGACCGCTTCCTGCTGGACAATTTTCTTCGTCCCTCCCGCTCCTAAAATAAAATATGGTTATGAATGTATTTATTTATTCGTAAAACACTATTAGAATATTCAATAAAAAAGTACATTTTCTTTCTTTATATACCAGTTCAATAAGAAGTCTTTTAAAATAAGAAGCACTAGAACTTGTATTACAAAACTCTTGAAATTAATAATTTTCTATTTATTTTATTCCGTTTCTTAAACAACTCAATTTATGTTTACAGTAATATCTAAGAAAACAAATGAAAAATCAATATACGAATAAAAAAATTAATATGGAAACCATGATATGCTATTTGATATATCATTTTCATATCAACATAATATCACAATGCATACCATTTTACTAAATATATAGATAATGTAACAATACCTGCAATCTAAATAACCATCACAACGTTTCTCTTTAGGTATGCAGAGATCGGATGATGTCGTCGCCATCATTGTTGATGGAATCGAAGTCGACGCAGCAGTTGAAGGCGCTGGACCGCAATGGAAATCGTCGGTCTGACATTTGCGATACGCTGGAATAGTAAAAAAATGAATTTGATAGTAAATTAAAAAAAAATATGATGTATGTTTTTGCTGGACTGTATAATTAGGGCAATTTCACGAAAAACGACAGCAAAATATTTTTAGATCGATATTTACAATGGATGATACAGTAGGTTATTAATTCAGTCATTCTACTACCAATCATACACTTATTTTTGAGTAAATATATATATATATATATATATATATATATATAATATATAGTGTGTGTGTGTGTGTCTGTGCATGTATATATATAATATATATTATTTGAGATGATTTTACGCTGTCTCCGTTTCATGCATATTTAACTTCACCTTGACTCGCGGCTAAGTATTGTTTCATGAAAGTTTACGAGCGCATCACTGGCTTTAGGGCGAGGGACTCATTTATGAGTTTTTATACGATGAGCGATTTGCAACATGCGTAAATTCTCATCGTATAAAATAGAACAAAAAAGACAAATTAATTCAACCATTAAACACCATATCTCCTATAGGTAAGTCATTATATGGTAAATAATTTTTTATCAAAACTGTAATTAGAATTAAAACAAGCATTTTTTTCTCATTTTATGGGTAACATGGTCTGGACAAAAAAAAAACGAATCGCGCCTGATGCTAAACTAAATGGTACAAATTGCATTTTAATATATAATATATAAATAACTGTCGAGATATTTTTAATCTTAGGGGTGCCCATGCGTACCAATCGTATCAAAAAGGTACGGAAGTAAAAATTTAAATCGAATTTTTAAAATAGATAAAGTTAGATAAAAAGTAAAATAGATAGAAATATTGCTGGCAAAGAGAACCCCAGGTTACTCTTCTAGGATTTTGTGAAACTTCGCATGGTGAGTTTTTAGTCAAACCGAACGCCTTAGAATATTAAAGACCCATGGGAAGTAGTTTAATTATAAAAATTAATTGAAGTTTTGAAAAATGAGCAATACGTACGCGTACGGTGTTTCCAATTAATATGTCTCGGAACCTCAGTGAATTTAAGCGCTTGCTTCCACTTAATCAACAATAATTAAGCAATTATTTTTATTTGCTTTGGTAAAAGAATAGTTACAGCATCTATTTATCTCTATTTCTTGGTAATATAATCAGTAGATCTTAGGATATATCAATTTAAAAAAGACTGTTACAACAAGCACCTAGCTGCCTGGAGCGTTTTAGGTCCGAATTTTTTTACTGTACCCCTCTGATTTGCATGAATGAGGTTCTTTTTACTCTCAAGTTAAAAAGAGAAAACATTTTGGACTCCGCCGCCACCTTCTGTGGGGGAAATGTAACACCCCTTCTCAGTGGTGTAATTTTATTTGCTCAAAATAACGCCGGATATCGATAAAAGAACTATTTATAAGAGAAAAATATTTCGTAAAGTTTTTCAGAGAAACAAATACTTTTCATGTCAATCTAACTAACATCAGTCTTAAATCAACACTCAAAGAAGTAATATCTAAATTTCATCTAACAAACATAAGTATTAACACAAACTTCAACCAAGTAACATATCATCTATAAATCGTAATATTTAAATATACAACCATTAAACTTATTACGGTCTGATATAGCCATTATCTAAATATATCTGGTCCTTCGAAAATATAAATTAAGTGCAAGTGTAATTTTCAATAGAGTTCGGTAGCATCTCGGTGGATCACGAACTTCTTATACATTTTTGCAATCTATCTTGTAACAACATATTTTTGGTCCATTCGAACCGGTTGGTCAAATAGTGAACAAAGGGGTTGTGCTTTTTAGGGCCAAAAAAGTTAAAAATTCAATAATTAAGATAAAGATGATAAAATATTATTCGCGTTATACTTTCCAAATTTCATGAAAATCGGAGTACAGTAAAAAAAAATCAGAAGTTATACCCTTTTTTCCGCTCCATTTACTGCACTAACTAGAGATTATAAATTCTATCTATATCTCGCCGTTAGCTCTTCTAAATTAATAGACAAGCTTATAAATAATTTTACTTTTAATGTATTTTAAGCTTCATAATTGCATCTGTCCATTGGTAAAAATACCGTTAGCCGACTCCTCTGTACCTCTACCTGTGTAGTATGTCTATGTACCGCGATTCGTCGGTCGCACAACCGGCAATGTTGGCATAGCACGTTATCGCCCGCGGCCATTCAACATCATTGTAATTGGTAATGGTCAAAACAAAAGTATTGTTCGCAGCCGGGTTTATTGTTTAAACATTATTATTCAAACAGTAGATTGTCCAACAATGCCCGGCGACCGTTGTACTCTCTCAACGTGCGTTTTCGTGTTTATGGTTCGGTTCGGCAACGCATTTTAACAAAATAAAATAAAAACAATTCTTTGTTAATCGCAATTCGTGCCAGTCACATTACTAAACTCTTTTACATCATACGATGCACAAAGCGTGATTTTTCTTCGACATGGAGTAATATAATACATGCAATTGTACTTTTAATGAAAGGCATTAATGTTGCAAAAAATTTTAAATTGTAATGCCATAATTGCAACTTAATATTTATGCATTTAAAGAGTTTTTGTCCGTCGAGAAAGCATTGTGAAATAAATATGTACATGTTTAAAATATTTTACAGTTGCGGCGTGCATAACCGTAATGGTAACATGCCTAATTCGCATGTGAAAGAGACCCTGATCCAATTGCGTTACAAGATATTGTGAAAAATTGTATTACAAGAAGAAACTAGCGTGGCGCACATTTTTGAAAAAATTTTACTCGGACAAAATAAGATTTTTAAGAAACTATTTTTGACAAAAATTTACTTTTTTTTTAAAAAAAAAACTTTTTGAAGAAAAATTTATTTTGAAATATTTTGGAAATTCTGAACTTTTTTTCAAAGCAATCGTACTGCTTTAATTGTATAGAAACGTAAGCGCCCATACAATACGGAACGGAACCCATAGGAATGTAAACATAATTTATACTTATTGTTAAAATTTCTATAAAATATCTGATATTTTGATGTGCATATGTCTAATGATCATTTTTGACCGCCAAATGGTACTTTTTTTTACTAGATCTCCGAAACCGCTAGATCTGCCTTCATGAAAATTTGATCAGTTGTTCACCTCGTTAATACAAATAAAATGTTTTTCAAATTATTGAAATCGGATGCTTTGTTCTCGAAAACGGCTGGGCCCGCCTTGGCCAAAAACTAATCAGCACGTGTCCTTATCAATAGGAAGAACGGTTTTTGAATAATCGAAATCGATTGATCCGTGCTCTCGAAATCGTCGACAAAATATTGTATCCGCACCACACACACAGGTATGCCGAAATGTTCCGAAGGCTTTGAAACTTATAGATATATAAAAATATTAATTTTCGATTTTTTTGTGATTATTATAACTTATCCTACGAGAAGTTAAAAATGTGTAATACTGAATATGATTAGAATGGGATATAAGAAGTAATGCCCATAATTTTTTTTTTTTTGAAATTTTTGTAATACGTCAAGTTTTCTAAAAGCATTTTTTAAGATTTCATTTAAAATTTAAAAAAAAAGAAAATAATTTCTTACCGCAATCAGCTTCATCGGTGCCATCGACGCAATCGATGGTCATATCACAGCGATAATGAGGAGGTATGCAGTATGTTTTATTAAACATATATTGACTGCACGTCAGCTGACCCACCTCGCATTCTGGTGGAGCTGCAAAAAATAATAAACAAATGTAATAAAGCATAATATAACTACCACATAGCCTGATGCAGATATAAGTATATATAAATTTGTATTTATGGTATTTACATAGTTTTTTTTTTATAATTTTCCATCACATTTATATTAGAAAGTAATTTAAACACATTTATATTGAATTTTCTATTAGGAGAATTTTAATATATATTCCTGCATAAAATGAAAAAAATAAATTAATGACCAATTAATTGAGATAATTTTATATTTAGCTTTCTTTCAATATTACAACATCAAAGCAGTTTTCTCTATTTGGCACTACATTCTCTACACAACAAAATATTATATTCAGTTACTGTCTATTTCATATAGTTTCTGTAAAAAATATTTTATTTAATGATAAATGATTCATTTTCCTATATTGCTTAGAATATTTTATAATGTAGAAATTTCACAACAACAAGAATATGGTCGCATAAGTATCGACATACAATATTATATTGCTAAGATGGAAAATGACAACCCATAAAGTCTATTGATAGTAGGGGAGACTGGGTACGGCTGTGCCATCTTTTTGAGATCAGCTATAATTTTGTAAATTTACCAATTAGTTGAAAGAAAAGTAAATTATTTGATAATTGAATATTTGTCTACGTGAACATACTAAAATACCGACCTGAAATACGATGGATTAGCCATAAAATCAAAACCTGCAAGAAAAGGGCAAATGTCACAATCGTCCACACCTCCACGATGGTTAAACGAAGTCAACAAAAAATCATTGTGATTTTTGTTCTGGTATTTTTCTTTCCCTTTCTCGTATTTTGTCTTAAGTAAGATTTTTCTTTATCTGTTAAATCCTCATCCAAAAAAGACAAAAAATCGATGTTACAACCATACCTACGAAATTTGTCACAACCGTATCCAACGCATACCTAAAAGCAAATCATCGTTATGACTGAGCTAAATTATCTACGCAAAAACTAATTGCTGGTAATTAACTACTGGAATACAAGTAACAGTTATCGAAAGAAAAATAGAAATTAAAAAAAATACTTATGACTCCTTCAAAATCAGTGTAATTTAGATGTTATTAAGGCTGTCACTACCGTACCCTGGCACAACCGTACTCAGTCTCCCCTACTACGATAAGTAATTTTCACTTTTGTAGAAAGACCATGCACGATTTTATAGAAGGTTCGCATTGTTATAACACCAATTTATGTAAAGATGAACCGAATCTAATGAAATGTGTAGAAAATAATTATGCCTTCAGTATCTATGGAGTTTTACATTCTCAGTAGTTTTACATTCTATATGCATGCTATGTTTTATAAATAATTCAAGAAAAATTGTATTATTTGATAGCTGCATAAAGTTAAATAGATAGCTAAAAGTATTTCATATGTACATATATGCATACATTGATATTTCATATTAGTATTATCCAATTCGTGTAATAACACAAATTTCAACATAGCACTTTAATAAAATAAATACTCCTGCATATCTGCTCCGATACGTTTTTGCCAAAAGCCACAAAGAAATAGATATCCGCATCGAACAAAAATCTCATATTTGTTTAAGTCCCATAAGAAAATACTACATGGCGAGCACAAAGCACGAGATCCATTTATAACATCGTGCGTATTTAAATCAGGGCTGTTGAAAATTCTTTTCCTCGGCTGAGAGAATCAAACAAAAGCAAAGCTAGAAGGGGTTTTGGTCGGTTCGCGACATCCTCGAGAAAAACACAAACAAACGAATAAAAATAACGTTACGGCGCGGATGGAAAATGCGGAATGAATAAAAAAAGCTGAAAATAGGTACGTGTCCTAAATCGTTATACAACAGTTTATATATATATATACTAGCTGACCCGGCAAACGTTGTTTTGCTAAGTAAGGTATATTCTAAACAATTTCTAGAGAATCAAAAATATTTCAAACGAACGATTAGCTGACTACGTTCAGTAAAACTACAGACTTCGTCATTTTAAAAATGTGCTTTTTTTGCTGTCTTTCAAAAATTTGTTATCTAGACCTTTTTACCCTATAGGCGGGGTAACTTGGAACGGCCAGATGGCAAACAGGTTTAATGTCTTATTTTAATTTTAAAGGTATTTTACAAAATAATTACATTTTTAACTAATGCTAAAAAGCTACCAACAGAAGAAAATACTTTTACTATGGATTTTCAAAGATGACCGTTTATCTCCCAATATCAAAGTCATAAGAATCAAGGTTATAGCTGGTTATACATCTTTCTCCCTTCACTTTCAAATAATGTTGTTAAACAATGCTTCAGCTTTACTGGATTTTGACACTTTGGTCGTGAAACTTTTAACCCCGTACCTTCATATATTACTAACCATTCTTTGATAAATTCTGGGAAATTATAACTGGGAATAAGTTATTTAACAAAATGTACATGTAAATGTAAGTAATGATCTTTTTCAGTCTTGGTCGCGGCATTATTATTAAACTTCACTTCACCTTATATATATATATATATATATATATATATATATATATATATAGTCTTGGTCGCGGCATTATTATTAAACTTCACTTCACCTTATATATATATATATATATATATATATATATATATATATAGTCTTGGTCGCGGCATTATTATTAAACTTCACTTCACCTTATATATATATATATATATATATATATATATATATATAGTATCATAGATTGAATAAACTACATGGATAGTTTATAAATAATTAATTCTGAATTAGAATGAAAAACGGGCTCTAAACTACCTCTCTGCCACCAATTACTGAGCCACAGCAACGCGTGGCCGGGCTAGCTAGTATTTTTTTTATATATATAAATATACTATCAATTAAACTGAAAATCGGGATAAAAAGTATCCTAAGTCCTTCTCCTGGCTCTAAACTACCTCCCTGCCAATTTTCATCTAAATCGGTTCAGCCGTTCGTGAGTTATAAGTGTTAGCACATAAAGCGATCCTCTTTTATATATATAGATATATATATATATATATATATATATATATATATATATATATATGAGATTCAGTCTTCAGGGCAATACATCAATTAAAAACTTGTATGACTTTTAAAACATTTATATTGTTTCCATACGTTTCGACACATAGTTTTGTGTCATCCTCAGTGGACTCTAGTTTAAAAACACAGATTAAAACTATTAATTAAAACTAGTTTATAAGAAAGTGGTATGGTGTAAAAACTTACATGTAATTGTAATAATCCTAATTATTTCATGATGATAATTGTTCACAAATGCACGATAAAAAACAATTCTTGTCATTTTAAATCGGAACAATTATATAATTTTGTTTAAAACGAATTTTTTATTGTATAGTACATCTCGCAATTCCGTATTCCGATGCAAGAGTGAAGCCTAAATGTGCACCAATGTGCGCACTACATGTTAAATTTAGGTAGAAGGCACACGAACTGACCAGAGAATTTAAGGTTTGACAACGCGAGGAGGGTACATATAGTAAAATATAAACAGATGACAATTGCGAGGGTGGACATAGTTGGTAGAATTGAGATAAAGATTAAAAGAAAAAGAAAAATTAAAATTAAAATTAATATAAATAAAACGTCGAATCAGGATATGTAATTATTTTAAAGGTATGAATTTCGAAACATTGTTTAAAACTACTTGGTAATTCTCTCACAGTGAAGAAGTATCAACTCTATTGTTTATGCTATTTTTAAAAAGGTGTATGAGACATGATTCTGATAAGCGTCTCTGCGATGTATTCGACCCGTGATATAAAATTATAAAAAAATAATATAAAATATAAATCGTAATATAAAATTATAAAAATTTGGAAAAATCTGGAAGAAGTATCGAAGAAAGATGAAAAAGATGAAACAATCATGATGAATTTTGGGTTAGAATATTAATTATAAAGTATATAAATTTTATCACTAATTTAAAAAGTAGGAAATACTATGCACCTAAACTATACTGATTTTGAAAGGGAGAAAGATGAAGTATGTTTGTTGGAACAAGTTTGCATTATTAACTAAAACAACACATGAAAAAAAGGGAAACGGAGAAGCAATACGACAAGAAATACATTCTGTCTGGTTTGTGGAAGCTAATACTCTGAAAGTAGGGGTGGCGTAAATTTGATCAAGTGCGATGGAACATGCGGTTTCTGGTTCCTCGTAAAATGCGCAGGCGATTGTCACTATTGTAATTATGACAAGATTTCAGTATACTGATATAGAGTTACTGTGATATTTTGACTGATAATTTTTAGTTAACATTTTTGACTGTTTTCAAAGAAGAAATTTTTATTTGCACCAGTCGTGATGTTGACTTATCAATTATAAGAAGGAAAGTAATCCCATAGAACGGTTTATTTCTTGTAACCTTGTTTCAAAAAGTATGTTAAAAGTTTTGCTATTGTTTTTTAACCTATGTTTATGCCTGTCATGATAGTGAATTATCATAGGGTTGTGGACGGTTGTGACACTTGTTCCTTTTTGTATGATTTGTTTTTATGATTAATAAATGCGTCGTATTTAAGGACAGTATTTTAGTATTTGCAGGTAGTTTAGTGTTACAATTACCATTTAATTTAGTTTTCTCCCAGATAACTGGTAAATTAACAAAATTATTGCTAAAAATATTTTCCAAAAACTAGTATAAGTGAAGGCAAATTGATATAAATAAATGTAATATAATAAATGAAACAAATCGAACTTCAGCCATTTAGCTGAAAACAGTAACACTTCAAGCCATTTTTCTATACAATTAGACTATTAGTTCAATATTGGTTTATAGAAAAATATTAGTTATGATAAAGCTGTATTGGATTCCGCTTTTACAGAGCTTTTTAACCAAGCACCTGTATCTAGTTTATTAGATTTTAGAAAATTGCTTTAAATCTATTTAACCAAAACTAATTCAAAAGTTATTAATAAAGAAAACAAATTAGATTGAAATTATATAGAAACCCATAAATACATAATTCGATATTATATTTATATT